TTGTGTCACTGCCACGATCAGGAAGAAAACGCAAGCTATCACATGCTGCCGAGAGGAGATTGGTCAGGATGGTCAAGAGTCAACCAAGAATCACCAAGAAGCAGGTCTGCAAGGATTTGGAAGCTGATGGAACACAGGTGTCAGTCTCCACAGTCAAGCGTGTTTTACATCGGCATGGACTGAGAGGCTGCCGTGCAAGAAAGAAGCCCTTGCTCCAGAAAAGGCACCTTAAGACTCGGCTGAAGTTTGCTGCTGATCATATGGACAAAGATAAAACCTTCTGGAGGAAAGTTCTCTGGTCAGACGAAACAAAAATTGAGCTGTTTGGCCACAACACCCAGCAATATGTTTGGAGGAGAAAAGGTGAGGCCTTTAATCCCAGGAACACCATGCCTACTGTCAAGCATGGTGGTGGTAGTATTATGCTCTGGGGATGTTTTGCTGCCAGTGGAACTGGTTCTTTGCAGAAAGTAAATGGGATAATGAAGAAGGAGGATTACCTCCAAATTCTGCAGGAAAACTTAAAACCATCAGCCCGAAGGTTGGGTCTTGGGCGCAGTTGGGTGTTCCAACAAGACAATGACCCAAAACACACATCAAAAGTGGTAAAGGAATGGCTAAACCAGGCTAGAATTAAGGTTTTAGAATGGCCTTCCCAAAGTCCTGACTTAAACCCCATTGAGAACATGTGGACAGTGCTAAAGAAACAGGTTCATGCAAGAAAACCATCACATTTAGCTGAACTGCACCAATTCTGTCAAGAAGAGTGGTCAAACATTCGACCTGAAGCTTGCCAGGACCTTGTGGATGGCTACCAAAAACGCCTAGTTGCTGTGAAAATGGCCAAGGGACATGTAACCAAATACTAATGTTGCTGTATGTATATTTTTGACCCAGCAGATTTGGTGACATTTTCAGCAGACCCATAATAAATTTATGAAAGAACCAAATTTTATGACTGTTTTTTGTGACAAACATGTATGTGTTCCGATCACTCTATCACAGAAAAATAAGAGTTGTAGAACTTATTGGAAACTCAAGACAGCCATAACATTATGATTTTTTACAAGTGTATGTACACTTTTGACCACAACTGTATATATATATATATATATGCTCATTTTATTACATGCTTCTATTATGTAATGTTTCCCCATTACATAATCTAAATCCACAAAGCACACGGATTAAATTAGGTTATCCACATAAATATCAAAAGAAAAACATTGGTGAGTCATATTCTCCAAATCTGAGGATTAGTGCCATCTTCTCTGGTTTAAGCTGGTTGCGGTTTCTCAAACACTTGAAGCAAAGAGAAAGGAAGAAAAAAAACAAAAAAACAAACGAAACAGTGTCCTTGTATCTGTGCAGCTATGTTATTGTATGAAATGAGGTGATGTTTCTCTGAGATATTCCTGGTATGTTGCTGTTCATGCAAGCCAAACGGTTCCCCTGTGAAAGCCCAACAGTGAATTGTTGAGATTGGCTCCAACAGTCTATGTCCACATGTTGGCTGCTGGTTTTAGTCAAGACTTTCCAAAAATGAAGAAACACAAATCACTTACTAAACAGCCATAATTCTCAAACGAGTTAGAGCCCTGTGCATGTCCCTCTGCAAACGTCACAAAAGTAACAATAGTGGAAATATTGGAAACTGATGTCAAGTTTGGGGTTTTCCAAAGTTGAGCATTTACTTAAGTTTACTTCTTGTGCAAAGTAGGATATTTTTACATCTTGATAACACTCTTGTTAAAACAGTTTTGGATTACAAAAAAACAAAAACAAAACACAAAGATCTAGAATGACCTTGTTCCAAATAAAAAAACAAAAAACTATATTTATAGCACATGCATACATCTTCAGGAAACAAACCCTATTAAAATCATTACAAGCATATAAAACAGTGAGGATGTGGGGTTCAAAATAATTTAATGTCCTAATTTGTAGAAGTTTATGTTGGAGGGGGTGGGCTGTAGTAGGTGTTGCTGACATGCTGTTTATCTTTGTGTTTATATCCCTCCTAACCCTGAACAACAGTCTAATTGTTCGTGTGGTTTGTCCTTGGTAAAAGGTGGAAGGTTGGGGGGTTCGGCCCACATCTGGCTGCCAGATTGGAGTCAAAGGATGTGGGAGAGACCACAGCTCTGTCCAATTTTCTCATAGTTATTAGATTTGTTTTAGGGGAGTATGACAAACACAGACATTGTAAATAAGGTAATTTGAATGATGGGTTTAGTTAAGCAAATATTTTAGAGATTAGAGTCCCATACTGTGTTTTCCAGTGAGTAACAGCCATGATTCAGGACTGAGTGTAAGCTGTTTGCTGGAGGCAGTTTAGAGATAAAGATCTCAAGCTTTAACCCAGCATGTGCAATTATAATTATCTCTCATTTGTCCAGAGCTAAGCATCTGTTTGTCACTAGCTAAAGATGAAACACAAGAAAAGAAACCAATAAAAAAGTCTGATCTTATACCCAAGTAGTTTGAAATTTGATTTGCTGGTTTTAAAAAGATTATATGTGACTTTTAAACATATTAATATATATTTCCCATGGAAATGTTCACATATTGTTGCACATACTGTTGTTGTTTTATACATTGAGGTTTGTGGTTGCAAACAGCAAACCCCAACGTGGTCTACTATGGTCCTTCATGAGTATTTTGTGTTTCAGTACAGATTTTTATCTCCTCAGGTTCAAAGTTGTCAATGGGAAAACAGGAAGCATTTGAGATTTTCATAAGAGATCACGAGGAACATCAAACCATTGAAGAGAATTCGAATATACTCAAAGAAAGGTGAGTGACAAAAGGAACAAGATATTCCTCCCACAGTGTTATATGGCTTCTGCTTGCATTTAAGATTCCTTCTGATACAGTAAATTTGCAAACACATGATAACATATAATTTTATTTCACCTTTTTCATAATCATTGCACCTCAAAGCACACCCCTTGGTTATTTCCTTAATTGTAGTTTTCCATTCATTAAATTTAGTGTAAAAAAAGATTTGGCTTCTTCTTTTGACCAGGTCAGATGAGGCCAGAAGACTTGGAGAACAACTAAAGGGAGCCAGAAACAGAATCAGTGAGTTCTCTCAACATTTGGAAGTTCTTCTGTAGATATTACATTACAGTTTTTAGCTGTGAACATCTTTCACGTCTACAATTTGCTCTCAGTGTTATTCCTGTGGTACCCAACCAAAAAACATCAACACCAGATCACTGTTGAGTCCCTCGAGCGTCAGAATATCTTTCACAGCATTCCTAAGCCTTCCCAGAACTGGGAGGCATTCAAATTTCCATCCACTTATAGCGGGCTTCCAACCTGTGCTTTTTACGAGTCGATCTCAGGCTGTTTTATGGCGATTCTGTTAGAGCTCCCCCGAGTTCTTCCTGATAGTCACTAACTTAACTAAGCCAAAATGATTCCTGGCATTAATTTGCAATGCAATGTGAATGAATCCAAAGACGTTCACAGTCTCTCTGCTGCGATTTGTTAACACATGTACTTCTTGTAAAGCTATATGCAATGGTAGTACAGTGGCCTAATTTTACAGTTCTTTCTCTAAATACTAGGTAAATGTAAAATTTAACAGCTTTTGGATGCAGTTTTTCATTCTTAGGACTAAACATGCAAATGCAAAAGAATTTCGTAAAAAAAATTCTAATTGCTTCTTTAAAAAAAAAAAAATAAAAATAAGATGACAAATACAATCTTTCCTTACCAGATGGACTTGATGTAGTGTTCATTATCTTTGTGAGCTCCTCTGTAAAAGCAGAAGTTTTGGTAGTTGTTTAGTGTGGAGCAGTTGGGTGTGTGCGATAACAATAAGTCCAAATAGGTAAGACCTCAACAATGATCACAAAGAAGCAGTAGTTCCTATCCATCAGTCTGGGAGGGGTTAAAACATGAATTATTCTACAACGCAGAACAAAACAAATTTTCAAATCACATTTTCAAGATTTGACACCTCGGTATACTTACTCCAAGATTAACCCTTTCAATGCTCAGAGAAAAGATGAAAGCCCCAAAAGCTACATGCGATGCTCTCGAGGCCTCCAGAAGTTATTCCTGACTGAATTGTTAGAAAAAGACTGAATAAGAACAGCTTGTTTAGAAGCATTAATAAGGCTCTTCTTTCTAAAAAGAAAATGGCATAAGACACGTCATTACGTTTTTAACAAACAATACCCAACATGTCAGAACAAAAGCCTTATAGCAATTTACCCTGGTGGAGAGGTAATGATATGGGCTTGTTTTGCAGCCACAAGATCTGGACACGTTGTTGGTACTGAGTTTTTTTTATACCAAAGTATTCAAGAGTAATCTGTCCATCTGTCGGATGTCTGAAGCTTGATCGAAACTAGATCAACAGCAAAAAGTATGCCTAAAACAGCGGCAGATATAACAGAGATTGGCTGAAAAAGCAAAAAAATCAACATACTTCAAAGTCCAAACCTCAAACTTAATGTGCTGTGGTGGGACTGTAGGCAGAACAAATAAACCTCAATGAAATTAAGCGTTAAAAGGCAAAGAAGTTCTCCAAATTTCCCCACATTCACAATAGTTTGTCAGCTGCTTATTACAATAATAACAATAATCTTCATTGTCAACAGACATCTTAATTTGGCTTCGGCATTACACAGTGGTTAAAAACCATAAAATAAGTTTGTTTTTTTTTTTTGTTTTTTTTTTTACTAAATTAGATAGAAAAGAAGATCCTGATTGATTGGTTAGTTAATAGTGTCTAAGCTGTTTCCACAGAAACACTCGGAGACATCTGAAGACAAGTTTAGTAGGTTGTTGTCTGATGCAAATTTGTGCAGTAGGTGGGATGGAATTAGAGTTTTATGTGGGCTACATTTTCTCTTACAAACAAAAGTAAATTTTTAAGTTTCCCTTTACTCTTGTGATGCATCCACTCATGTGTGTTTGTGGCTGACATCACACACCAATAAAATAGATCTGTTTACAGCAGGACCACGCCTCATCCCTGCCTTGGATCACTCTCAGTGGTTTGGCAGTTTGTGCCCGTCACCCTCATATATGCCACCATGTTTGTCACCCCTACAGTCTATTGTTTTCCTCCTTTCGCCCCAAGAAGTGCTGACGTGGCCATGTTTGTTGTGCATCACAAAGAAATCAAGTATGACAGCGTTTAGTAACCCTTGTTCCTCCATTGACCCACACACAGTAAAGTAAAATGAAGATAAACATTTGTATGATTGAAATGTAAAAAAAAAAAAAAATGTCATTTTCAAAAAATTGTCTCAAAACCATCTTTAGGCTGTGAATATTACTACATTATCATACTGATGGAACTGCATTCTTCCTGCATTAGACACTGTTTTTAATCAAAAAAAAGTGTTGCTTCTTCTGGCTGGTAACTCAAAGCTTCTTTGTCATTTTGGAAGCCCTGCTTGGACGCTGTTAGCCACCTATGTTTTATGCGTAATGTGCACCGTGGAAAAATTTTATGTAATATAGTGAATTTCTTTTGCTTTTGGACATACCCAGCTTGGAGGGTCGGTAGCAGGGGATAAAAAGAGAGATGGGAGCGCGAGGAAACATCAGTGTCTAAACATTACTCTATTGTACTTGGCCACGACACGTAGCTCTGGAATCCAGTCCCACTGGAAGAAGATACATTTTGAGCCTCTCGGTTCAGAGAGTGCATGCATGTGTATGTATTTGCTCAGAAAGATCAGCGATACGCGTCCTCTGCAGTATAAAAAGTGGAAGGCAGCTGGAAGCAAGCAGCATCTTCTGATTATTTGGCCAGATGTTAGAGGATTTATGCAGCGCGGTCTTAGGTAAAGCATCTGGTATCTTTTAGGTAATACACTCAGCTCACCTTTAAATAAATGACCTTTAAGCCCAAGATGTTTCAAAAAATATATCATTATCAAAAAATATATCATGTAAGAGCCTCCTTTATTTTATTTTTTTCTTTCCAGTGTGCTAGACATTTCTTTTTTTACAGGGTCTTGATCAATAGTTTGTCATGCCTTCTAAATGTTTCATTCTGGCTCTTGGCTTTTTCACTGATTAATTATGCAGTTAGAGATAGTTTTACAGGGCCTTGAAAAAACAATGACACCATTTAATCATCCTCACAATTTGTCAGGTTACATTCAGAAACTATATTTGAATTTTATTTGACAGACCAACATACAGTAATGCATAATTGATAGATGGGAAATGGTGTATGGTTTTCAAAATGCTGGCATAACCAATACGTGTCCACTCCACAAATTCGATCTTAGTCCTTTCCACTCACAATTATGCGTCACTTTATGTTGGAATGTCATATAAAATCCCATTAAACTATATAGGATGCTGTGGTTGTAAATTGGGTCTTTGGGGATTTTGCTACCTCAGCCTTTTACAAAGATACACTTTATTCCCCCTGAACTGACGAAAAACATCAAAAAGACACTTTGAGAGATGACGATGTCGGAACGGCAAAAATAACAAAGTAAGGAAAGGTTACAAAAATATTTAGCCACACTGTGACTATTTCAGCCGCCATGCGTCACAGATTGAGATAATAAACCAGATTTTGCATGAGTGTTATGATTTATGCACTACTCATGTTGCAAATACAATTGTTTTTGCATAAAGTCTTCATGTACAGCTGTTATAAACACAGCTATTCAACAAAAAACAGAGACTGTTTAGTAAAAGTTTTTTGGTTTAGTATAAACAACATTTTATGTTTCCTCTCTTTTGATATGTGATATTTGTTGCAGTCAAGATACATTGGTAAACTTTTCCTGTAGGTTTTTCTTACTACTATGTTGATCTTTTGATGTATTGTTTTCTTGGTGTAAACAATATTTCATTCTGTTTACATCAGAAGCTGATCTAGATCCTTGACTCATGGCATACTTTAAATCCCATTCAAGCATCATGCCACCAAAATGTGGGTATTTATTGAAACTTATAGCTTAAAGCTTGTCTTCAAAGAGGATAACCCTTACCATATGCTATGGAGAAAAACTTAATTTGGTTAGGTGGAATCTTGTGTCCTCTCTGAAGCACTTATGATATTGCATCATATGTACAGTGGGAAAATATCAAATTCTTTTCAATATTTATTCTTCATTTTGGCAGCAAAAGAGCCACACTAGTAAAACAATTCAACCAACCACCAATTATTTTCAGTGTTATTAATGCAGGTAAATTTCATTACAACTCAATATAAAATAGAAAAGAAAAATGGCATCAATAAAACATCAGGAATTTTAGGAACCACCATTCAGTGAGACTTTGCCCTTAAAATATATTTAAAATTCTTTGATTCAACAAAGTTCAGTTGCAATGTGACAAAAACAAAAGGGACATTGTGAGAAACAGGTTTTTCCCCAGTTCTGTATGTGCTGAGTGGACACTTTCTGCTTGTTCTTTATCAACAGGTGATTTGTTGCGTTGCTCAGTTTAGATTTTTTTCCAGGAGTGTAAAGCGTTTTATATTATGCATGCGGTTCTCATCAACTCTTTCACTTTGTTGCAGATGCAGTGCATTTTTTTTTTTTTTTTTGGTCATATAAAGCGGCGGCTATAGAAGGAGGTTACTGCCAGGATTTCAGTTGCATTTAAAGTCGAATCTGTGGTGCTTTGTCTGGCGACTGCGTTTTACTGCTCCACAAAGCCAGCACGCAGGAATTGTCAGATATTACAGATTTGCGGCCACAACTACTACACTACGTAAAAGTAGATCACAGGAATTTCCCACTGTGGTTCCTTTGTTTTGATCTCAGTGTTGGGGATTCTGAAATGCTTATGTACATGATATGATGGATTTAAACAACACAGACAGTGCGCTCATCATGTCTTTATGAACTCCCCTCTTAGGGGTTTAAACATCCCTTAATCCTTTAATGTTCTTTTGAAGACGCAGACTCGACATCAGTAGGCGTGTTTTAGAGTGTCGTGCTTGTAAGAGAAGACCCAGGCTACCCACCTGACCACAAAATGAAGCCACAGGGCGTCTCAGATCATTTACATTCTCGGCTACCCAAATACATGGCTTCATGAGAGGATCCCAAACTCTGCCTCATACCTCATAACCATTTGGAAAAACAGTCTTGTCACGGGCACCATATGACTCTGTGTGTCCTGTATAATGTTTCACTTCATCTGTTCAAGTCTCTGCTGTCTACAGAAACCCCTAAAGCGGTTGACTTTGAACGAAAGTGCTCGTGATGCGCTTGGAAAGACAAACTGGTTGCACTGGGATTTTGCAAACAATTTTAAAGCTTTCTGAAAGAAAGTGCTGACTAAATGCAAAATCCTTGTGGGTTTAGAATCACTTCAATCCAACTATTGTAGGACAGCATGGGTGGTATTCAGTGTAAAGGTACTTTTTCAAGAGAGGACTTCATCTGGATTTCTCATCTATGGAGCTTAAACCTCTGATTTTAGATTGGACATAGCATCACTTTGCAGGGCTCAATTACTGAGCAGTTTTTATGTATAAGACCTAAGGGATTGTTAAAGAAAATCACAGACACTACCATTCTTCTACCCTTCATGTCTGTTTGTTTGTGACCCCCAAAAAACCCAAACCTCCCCTTCATGCTTATTCCTGGCGTTGTTTGCACAAATAGCTACAGACACTCTCGACCTAGCAACTCATCCAAACGTGATGAAGGCGATTTGGCAAAGTTCAAACTGAGCATCAGAACTGGGAAGCACTGGGGATTTAAGTGAGTTTGAACAGGCCATGTCTGTTGGGGCTTTACAGACCAGCCTAAGTGTTTCTGAAACTGCTGATCTACCCAGATGATCACACAGCCATCTCACAAGCGTACAGAGAACGGCCCAGAAATTATTTCCAGTGAGTGGAAATTATGTTGGTGTCAGGGTCTGACTTGTTTGAGGTGATAGAAACCCAACAATAACACAGATAATGGTTGTTGCTACTGACGTATAGAGAATGTCTTTGAAGATGTTGAACCTTGAAGCAGATAGACTCCATCAGCTAAGGATTACACTAAGAAAAAAACAAACAAAAGTTCATTTATCTCATTATATAAGGACTGGTTAATTGTCCTAATCTTTATGACTAGGAATCTACACCAATCGTCGTTCTACTGTCTATAACTAATAAATACTATAAATAAATAAATAGTTTTCCATAATTTAAGTTCACCATATTGGACTTCTACAAAATTTTACCGAAAATTTTAGTTCTAAAACTAAATATTTTTTTCCTAAAAAAATATATTTCTAAGCCAAAATTATTTAGTTTTGGTTTCTGAACCAAAATGCTCTTCAGTCAAAAGCTGAAATATTAAAAAAAGAACAATGTGATGAAAAATAATTGCAGTTTTTTAAACCTTGATATCTGTTAAAATCACAAACTGAGGAAAGTGCAGAAATGCTCTTGAAGAGGCTTCAAGTGTTGCTGCGGGTTTGTCCCCACAAACTGATTTTGTTTTCAGCTTCCCGTTCAGTATCTCTTACAGGCTACAAAAGAGATTATGTAAAAAGGTCATTTGAAAACACATTTAATGTTGAAAATTTCACATATTTTTGTCTTCATTCTTCTTTGTCTTCAGCTGAATTGAAGAAGCAATTGGAGACGCGGAGGAGACAAAGGGCAGCTCAGGGTATGAAGATGAAAACGTACATGATTGAACGAGATAACCCACGTGTATGTTCAACCTGCACAATGTTTAACATACACGTAAACCTATGCACTTTCTTTAGAGCTTCTGTAGATAGTTCCACCAGCAGTAAGCTCTATGTACAGTTATGTAGTGGGGAAGGAAATCCCCAGTAGGAAAAAGGGAATTTTAATGGTGTTGCCAGGAACAGACCTATTATGCAACCTATACCGTAGACATCTACTGCGTAAATATAAAAACATTTTTTTTTTTTATGTTGATTTGAACATTAGTCAGAATTAACTAACATGAGTTAATTTTAATTTGTGTTTTGCAATCAGTGATCTCTTTTGTTTCTGGGCTATACATACGATTTAAAATAGAGGCAAATTCATTCTAGCCATCCTTCAAATTTAAAAAGAATATATGCGATGCATGTGAAGCAGATGTAAGGTCAGGTAAATATATTATTTTATAAACCTTCCCATTCTTACATTTAGAGCAAAAAAAAAAAAAAACAAGTTCTAAAATACTTTAACTGTGACAAACAAGGATAAGAATGGTTAATAAAGTCGACAAGCTCAGTGAAAGAGAGCAGCTGCATCTTGGTGGCACCAGGCCTTCATCAGAGTCTGTCCAAGTCATGTAAACCGTCTGTTTAGGAGAAGGCCACAATAAAGCCTCTATTCACAAATGTAGATGTGGAGGTTTTCTAAACTGGACCTTTAACTGAAGCATGTCCTCCTGGCACAGAAAGATTCAACTTATTTTTATTTTATTTTTTTGCTACAACCTCTCTAGATGTGTGTGGCGTGAAACACAGAATGAAGAAGCAGAAAAACATCACATGCCCACTGTTATGTATGGTGGAGGATCCGGCATGGGGCGGAGGAGTTGTTTCATGATCGTATGAGTTTGATGTCAGCTTTTCCCCTGACCATGTGACGAATCGCCTTTGAACATTTATACACTGATGTTACATCAGTGTATAAATTTTGACAAATGGAACATCTTTTTTTATCGTTTTTCTAAACTCGTCACTCCCGAAAGGATGGGAAACCCTGAACTTTCTGGCTGCTTTTGTCTTGTGTGCATTAGTGGCCACTTCAAAGCTTTGACAGAAGGCCTCAGTGACTGCAAGCTTGAATACCGAAACTACACTCTGTTAGCTCCTCTTCTGATGGTTTTGATCTGTTAACATGGACGCTTTGATGAGAAAATTTGGTCATAAAGCTAACATTTTCCTCTGGTTCTGACGTCAAAGGGCTTTTCTTGTTAGTTTAAATCTCAACCTCATGGAAGAGCTCATAAATTACATTTTACTTACATTCTACTTCTGGACGCAAATTTCTAAATATCTGCATGTTTAAATTGAATTGCTTTATAGCTGTGACAGGGAACGATACGCAGGACGGGGAGGAGAACGACCCCCTGGAAGAAAGCCTCTGCAAACAAATTAAGCAAGAGAAAGTAACGTGAGTTGTCTCAAATAACTTACCGAATGTTATTACAGTTCCCCACCCCTCCAAAAGACCCTGCTTGGTCTGACTGAACGCAGCAGGTGCTGTGTAACGACAACTAAAGATACATTTTCCACTGCTGATATCCCTTGTCAGCTACAACAGCAACCTTGGCCGCCTAAAGGCTCTGAGGACAGAGATCGAGCATCTGCAGCTGTTGATGGACAGGGTGAAGGTCAAGATCCAGAAGGATTTCCTGAAGTGGTGGAGTCAGGAGGCTTTGAATCTGCAGGTGACTGGCCTCTTTTCTATCCTTGTGATAATTCATCTCACCGTGCCTTTTGCAAATGTGTTCATACCCGTGGACTTTTCATGTTATGTCATAATAAAACCACAAACGTCCGTATATTTTTACTAAAAAAAAAAAAAAAAACAACAACACAATGTCGTGTGTAACTGTAGTGGCTGAAAAAAAAAACACTAATGCAGAGTTTTCAAAACTTTTCACAACTAGGACCTTGGAAATATAAATGCATAGGTATTCACCCCATGTTTAATTTGACACTTCTAAATACAAATCCATTGCAACTGTGTTGCGATAAGCGTCAAATAAAAGAAAGACGACTATAGAATCATATGACCTCAGGTCAGGGCAGGGGTCAAGCAAAAATGGCAAATAAAAAAAACTTGTTTTAGACCAGCAGGCAAACTAGTGTGCGCTTAGATGTAGAGCTTGGTGCAGAGCTGGCAGTCCTGTTGAGGCTTAGTTCCAAACATTTTAAATATGCATACACACAATGAACTAAAATAACAGTGGCACCAATATTATGCTTGTTAAAATTAATAATTTGTATCCAAATGGAAGGACATTAATACTTTGAGACAAAGTGTGAAAAAGTTCAAGGTTTATGAAAAAATGTGTTAGGAGCTGTAAATCTGCTCTGATCAGAATGAAACAACCAAAAATGTGATTCTCATGCTAGGTTTGTATCTATGTTTTTCTCTTTATGAACTGTGTTTCTTGCCATACTGGTGTTTTGAGCAGTGCTGACACTTAGCATGTACACCACCGGACAAATGTGTCGATTGCTGCCTCTTGTTTGTCACAAAGGCTAAATGGGACTTAGTGGGAGAAAGAATAGGAGGCAAACAGAGATGCATTTGTTTATTTATTTTTCCTGAATTCCATGTGACTCAAACACTAACAGAGTGGATAACAACATGAGTCAGAGTCTATTTTAGTCTAATATAGAAAAAGATTGCGGAGAGGACGGCTGGCAAAGGATTCAGTTGTAACACTGACTCAGTGAGGAGTCTGATAACTCACGCTTTGCTCAGCCTGGACAACTGCTGAGCACATTTCAGGCAACCAGCCAAAACAAAGATGTAAAGCAAGAACATCTGAGGAGCAAATTCCGCTGACCTTATGAATGGAGATAGGAGCGTCTCTCTCTTTTATCTCGGCAACATTTGGATATGAATTTCTGAATGACGGACGATGAGGAAGTGTAGCAGCTTTGCCTCACAAAGCTGAGTGTTTTTCTCACCAGTTTATGCCCAACAGCGTTGATCCAGTATTAGACGCACACATGCACTTGCTTAAACTTTGCGTTTGCTAAATGACGAACCAGAGCAGTAAAGCATCAGAGGTGCTTTCTTTAATCTGTCAGATGTATGTAGCATGCTCATGTTATTCTGTCGGGCTGTTTTTGTTGACAGTTGTTGTAGAAATGTTTCAGCAATTTAAAAAATATATTTTTATTAGGAGTCTGAGTCGGAAACTGAAGCGAAATATGGCTCTACATCTCAAAATGAAACCTTGCAACCATCTTCACCTGGCACTCCAGGATTTTGGTAAGACCTTTTCTGCTATATTTTTATATATGCACTCTTTGCTTTTCTACCAATTAGTAGTATTGAGAATGATTTTACAGGTCTCAAAAGCCTCTTTTACTTGTTTTGTTACATTTTTGAAATTCCGGATGAAGAATCAGTGATGTGGTTTTGTCAAACGACAGCGGATTATTACACAACCAAAGTCTTCCTTTATCTCTGTTCTTTTCATTGTTTTCTTTGCAGCTGATTTTCGGCACATAGCAAGACAATTATCCACTCCTCTTTTTTTTTTTTTTTTTTTTTTTCAGTGTTTGTTTTTAAACCTTGAGGAAATCCTTGGACAAATAACCAGCTGCAATCCACATCTCCTTTAAATTCACGGAGACCAACATAGGAAAGCTGGCTGGCATTTTGTCCGAATTGGAGAAGTGACAAACTTTTTTTTCTTAAATTCTGAAATGATGTTTTTTGCCCTTTCAGGCCCAAAATTGAAAAAAATTATAGGGAAGAATGTGTTGAATTAAAAAAAAAAAAAAAAAAAAAAAAAAACTTAGGACAACCAAATATATGTTACTTCATGAACTGTACTGAGATGTGAATTTCCATCTGGAATTAATAAAGTATATTCATTCATTCATTCATTCATTCATTCATTCATTCATTTAAATACCTTCAAAAATATACACCTTCTGATTAAATTTAAATTGAGATTAATTGTAAGTCACAAGTTGCATGAAAAAAAAAAAACAATTGTCAATTACGCATTTCTACAAAATACATTAATGTTTACCCTTTCATAATTAGTTGATTACTCAATGACGTGCTTCTGATTGCTGGCTTGCACGGAACAGACATTGAACATTTGTCATCACTTTCAGGCGTTTGTGTGCATTTGCTTCACCATCTGTGACGCCGTCAGCCAGAGGACATTCACAACATAATCACAGCCCGTATTTATCATCTTAAATCTACAGTAACTCTGATGACAGTTATTAATGCACACACAGTGAGGGAAAGAGCCCAGAGTTTGTCAACGCTTTCCTCCGAGACTGATCACAGAAACTGCCCTGGAAATGATTCCTCTCATGTCTGCTGTTGGCGAGTGTTTACTACCATATGGCCGTTTTACAATATGCTACTTTATTTGCTGACACAATGCAACCAGGAAGGTTTTGTCTATTTCGTTAAGTTTTATTTGCTCCCGTTTCTCTCTTATTTTCACTTTGAAATAAGAAAAAACTAGAAAGAAAGAACAAAGAAATTGCAGAATCCACATCGAGTGTAAATTCCTTCTGCAAACTGCACTTAATACATGTGTCATAGTTTGAAGCTCGCTCAGAGCTGAACAGAGGAATCAAATCATTCTCATCACAATTTTGAAAACTACTTTTTTCCATTTTTTTCCATTTTCCAACCACAAGCTTCAGCGTATGTTCACAATGTGTGTGAAGTGAACGGAAAAGGATACATCATTTTCGAAGGGAAGCTTTAATCAGAGAAGCACTCAGGAGGGCTTTTGTAGCTGTGCAGAAGCTGCATCTGTTGCCAGGCTGGCGCACCCCACAATTCTGACTTCTATAAAGAAGCTGGAAGGAGAAAGCCATAAGAAATCCTGTAAAATCTCCCACAAGCCATGTAGGGTACACTGCAAACATGTGGGTGAATGGGCTCTGGTCAGAAAACCCGAAGCTGGACTTTTTGGCCGACATGCAAAACATTCTGTGGCAAAAAAAATAACAATGATCATCACCCTTAACACAAAATCCCCACTACTAAACATGATGGGGGCACCATACCGCTGTGGGAATGTTTCTCTAGTTCTACATGGCCAAAGAGGACTTGAGTTGAATGCAGGACAAGCCTGGAAGAAACTTACAAGAGGGCCCAAAGTAATCAAGAATTTTGATGAACCTGCAAAAGAAACGTTCTGGCTGCTTTATGCTGTAGCTCCATCTGGTGGTATAAAGAAGAGGACACGGATAACTTCCATGTTTCAAACACAAACCTGTGGTATTACTTTGACGTTATCTCTGTCTTTATGAAAGGCTCTGCTTTCTTCCACAGCTCTCCTGAGCTAAGCAGCACAATGAAGGAGTCTCCGTCAAAGCAGGACACAAATCCGGACCATTCGGTCTCTTCTGCTCCTGAACTGAGGTCAGTCAGTTCTTAATTATCTCTTCTTTTATTTCAGGAAAGTATGTTTAGATTGTACTGCATTGGAGTTTGTAAAGTAAAAAAAATAAAATAAAAAAGCTGAGAGTGGAAATAACTCAATTTGTCTTACTTTCAGCTGTCTTGAACCCATAGACAAACTTCCAGCCCCAGTTTGGTCAGCCTGGAACAAGTCCCAAGAGGAGAGTAAGAATTCATACTGGAGGTACATTAACCAGATGGTTATCACAGACCTAAAAAGCATCCAGAATATATGATTTGAACCAATTTTTGCTTCAATTGAAACGTTAATTAGAAGACTGAAATAGTTTAACTTGGGAAATTGATTTTTCTGGCATCTATTGAATGAGCTGCGACTTTTACTAACTGAAATTAAGCCTCTTTTTTTTTTGCCTAATTTTTTCAATTAATACTTTCATACACACCCACAATGACTCCTAAATCCATACATTCAGCCCAGACCTGCAGATTTTATAGCTGTTCTGTGTTTTTTCTTCACTTACGAGAGCCGTCATAAATTTTAATGTCTTTGTGAAGTAACGTCTGCGAGTCGTGTTCACAAATCAAAAGAGTCTCGCTTTAACCCAGATGCTGAAAGCTCCATTTTACAGCCACTGTTAAACACTCGCTGTAATATGTATATGCTTCCTCTTAAACAAGCACTCTCGCAGCACAGACCCACTTTTGTTCTGTAGCGAGGCTCTGGAACACAAGGAGCTGTTCTCTGTCAAAGTTTCTGCTTTAAATTTTGCTCCGTGAACAGTTTACATGTTTCATGCAGGGGTCACATGAAGACTTGTTTTTGTGCCTGCTCCAAAACAAACATGACCACGTTTTTAAAAAAGACAAATTTCAACCCTTGGCATGTTGGAGTAATCACAAGTACGTTTCAGGGACCTTTCCACAACAACCCTCACGTCTTCTTCCATTCCACTGACTGGAGATCAGGAAGTTGATTCTGACATCCTGGCCTTTGTTATGGCCCGGAAAAATCTCCTCAGCAGGATAGGTAACACACACACACACACATGCACACCTACACACACATCCTCTCACATGTAGAATTTTGCATTGACTTCCATCCATTTTTTTCATCCATTTCAATAGCCTAGACCCGGCCCTTATCCTAAACCGAACCACTGCCAGTACATGCCTAACCCTAAACTCAACTCACATCTTAGTCCTAATCCAAAGCCCTAACCCAAAAGCAGCTCTGCTTCTTATTGAGACTTAAAATGTATCAAATACATGGTCATATACACAGGCCTAATGCAGCTTGCACACAAAAATGGGTGCTCAACACTGCACTCTAGTGGTGTGATGAATTACAATGTGTCACAAAGTTTTGTTAGCGTTCAAGAGCTTGAGTTCATCAGACAAAACAGTGCCTTAAAAAAAACTTGAGTTTTTCCAGGTTTTGCCCCACTGGATTTCAGCATGGCCCTTCTATCACATGCATACTCTTTGATCTAAGCCACAGCTGTTAAACTCCAGGCCTTCAGCAACTTTTAGATGCATCTCTGGTCCCACACACCTCACCCACGGGTCTCTGTCCTTGCATTCAGGTGTGTTGGACAAAATGTTGCGGGACAGCAGCCCTCGAAAACTAAAGTCTGACACCCTGATCTAAGCAATTTAATTATTCTCTGACTACGCTTTGAGACATCACCCCCAGCGCCACCATTGGCCTATTGGCTGATTTTCAGATTAAATGACTTTTGGTGCAAACCCTAAACCTAAATCTACTGTGTATTGCCAGGTGTTCAGTTCTACTATTCATTTTACATTTTCTAATATTACGGTTGTAACGTTGTTTATGTAGAAGATTATATAAAGAACAGTTTGAAGTATTTGCTCAGAGAAATCACATCTCAATAGATTTGTCGGTTCTCCCATTTTAGCTTTTGTGTAGATGTTTTCTTTGCCAACAGCAGATTTCCCTGTGTTGTATTTTGCCATCAGCTATTCAGAGAAGCTGAGGTCCTAGGCTACTTGAGCTACTAGACTACTTTTTTTTTTTTTTACAATACAGAAAAAAACAGTCTAAATGAGGTACAAATGAGTTGAGTTTAGTTTTTAACTAACTGAGGAGTGTTGCTATCTGTCAAATCTGTGATGTGTTAGATATAATAGCCACTAATCAAGTAGGTTTGTGTTTTGTGTATTTTAGGCCCTGGTAAAGATGTGAAGTGAAGTTCTAACGAGGAGCCATATCATCACTTCCAGTCAAAACGAATGGTCTGGGAATTTGTATTGCCACAGTCCACTCATGCTTTCTCCTTCTGGACAGCAGCATAAACCACAGACTGTGTCTAATGTTTGATCTAAACCCTTTTACTAATAAAACAACAGAAAAAAGACAGAAGAATAACCAGAAAAGAGCCGCAGTATTTGTTGAAATCTTGTGAAACGTTTTAATTGGTGACATGATGTTTCAACATTTAGAAAGAAGTGCTTTTTTATATATTTCCAGCTGAGTTTGCTCTATTAATTTTTATGTAAATTAATATAAAACTATGGGATGTAGTGTGAATAATAAAGCTTTTCATTGCTTTTCCCAAACAATTAAGGCAAAAGTAGTGCAACTGTGAGATGCCTGAGCCATCACTTCGTTGTGCTGTTGTCCTGCACTATAGGAAACAAGTCACTGCCAGGGTACAAAGTTTTTATACTTTGTAGTTTTGTCCTCAGAGGAAAAATACTTTTATGATGCTACAAATAGCACCTGTGCTATGTGTTGACTTTTTAAATCCTGTTTTCTTGTCCAGGTCACCAGGACAGTTACCTAGAAAAATTTTCACTGTCAACCTCAAATGGGGATCTTCTGTGTAAGAACAAATGTCACGTAAAGAAAATTCAGGAAGACGGTCCATTACTAGGTACATTTATTCTTAAATTCTGGGAAAACCTTGAGGCCATCGCACAAAAATAAGCAATCGGCTGTGTCCTTCAGATCTTTGCAGCTGTTCTGCTTAAAGCCACAGAGAAGAAGATCCAACCAGCCACTCTGGATCCACCTATACCTTTCAAACAACTTGTCAACATTTTGCATTGCTTTGCATTAATTTGTTTGACAGATGACAAGAAGTTGCACACTTTGCATTCAGTTCTGGGCTCTTTCGTTGCCTTGGATATTTCTCCAAGACAACTCACCCTTTAAAGTCCTATCTGTTACATCTCGTCGCTGTAACGTCAACGCCTTTTCCATGACTGCATGCAATGCTTTATGGAAGAAATCCACTCATCTATCAGCTAGAAGGCGGTGTTCAATTTGTATATTTATAATATAAACCAATATGTATATATACAACCAATCACATCCATGTCAACTCACGGTCCCTATTGCAACAAGAACATGTGCAATATTGCAATCACAAATTACCTAACAGATTAAATATTTATCGGGCTATAATACTTAAGGCACCATGCATTAAAATTCTGCCTGATGATAATATATTTAGCCATTTGCATTTCCTT